ATCATCACAGCAATCCTATGAGGTAGGTGCTTTGACTCCATTTTATAGATGTGGAAAGGTAAGGTAGTTTGCCTTCGCCATGGAGCTGAGACTCACAGTGCATGTCTTTCTTTATTTCTCTTTCTTTCTTTCTTTCTTTCTTTCTTTCTTTCTTTCTTTCTTTCTTTCTTTCTTGGGGGGGGCACACCTGGCTATGCTCAGGGCTTACTTCTGGCTCTCCATTCAAGGGATCACTCCTGGAGAGCTTGGGGGATCATATGGGATGTCAAGGATCGAACTCAGGTCAGCCGTGTGCAAGGCAAGCTCCCTACCTGCTGTACTGTCTCTCCAGCCTCTTCCCTAGAGCATCATCTTAAACCCAAACAATCTAATTTCAAACTGACAATTCCAAAGTGATCCAAGAACTAAAGTGTCATCATTGTGTTGGTTCCTTACCATGACCTTTTCTTCCCCACCAGTGTCTCCCCGCCTTCCCGAGTTCAGATATTTCCCTAAACATTTTTGGGAAGAACTAAAGTCCTTCTCCTCTCCTCCTCGGAACCTTAATCCAAATTCCTGGAGCAGGTGATTCTCCCATTCATTCTACTCAAAAAGCCATTCTCACCTGCCATTGCAACACTGAGGCAATGGATGACCCCTTGATTGGGTGCAGCGCGGATAAAAGCCCCTGGGCTCACTCTCCCTGCACCCACAGCAACTCCAGCACTCAGAGTCCTGCAGCCCAGAGCTCCCTGTTCTCCTTTGACCCACTCCATGGTCTCCTATTTGGAACTCCAGCACCTTTTGGAAATTTTCCGTTATGAACACTGACTACATCTTAAGGGGAGGACCTGAGATGAAGAGCCCAAGATGGCCCACCTCTCCAGCCGCAGGAAAGTACTCTGCAGAGCCTAGATGTGGAGCATCGGGCCTGATTTCCATGGAGACACCCCTGGGGATTGTTGCCATGGAAATACTAGAAAGACACTGGCCACAGTGAACGTTACTCCCGTCTCCATTTTTCTTCATGAGACTCCCCCCAAAGCTAAGAGTACACCTGTCTTTCCTTTCTTCAGATATTAACGGAATCACTCCAAATAATAAGACTCTACTCCAAAAATCCTATAGGAGTCATCCCAGCCTTCCAAATGATACACCTAGATTTGTTATGTTTTCTTTTTTCCTTCTTAAGAACCCACCTAAGGATTGAGGGAATGGAGGACCTTCCTTCCTCAACCACTGCAGTGAATATGTGAATGAAGAGAGGATGAGGTGGGGGCCCTCTTACCAATTTCCCTCCCACATCTTGTATAAATGCAACTTCCTAGACAACAGGCACTTTTGCACACCAAGATGCAGGTGGAGAAAGACAGAGGCACTTAAGGGGATGCAGTGCAGAAAATGGATACTGAGTGATAAAAAACCACAAGACCAGGGGTTGGAGAGCTAGTACAGTGGGAAGGGCACTTGCCCTGCGAGCTTTCACCCAGGTTTAATCCTCTGCACCCCGTACAAGTAAGCCCTGAGCACCCCCAGGTGTGGCTCCCAAACTGAAACAAACAAAACCAAAAAACCAAAAGCACAGTCCAGACTGTGGCTCAAGTGGTAGAGCCCCAGCCCTGCAGATGGGAGCCCCTGGAGGTGGCTCTAGAGCCCCTGGGTAGAGAGCCACTGCAAGAGTGTCCCAAGAGAGAAAAGAAAAAGAGCAAAACTACATACAAAAAACAGAGGCTGGGGCTGGAGCAATAGCACAGCGGGTAGGGCGTTTGCCTTGCACGCGGCCAGCCCGGGTTCAATTCCCAGCATCCCATATGGTCCCCTGAGCACCACCAGGGGTAATTCCTGAGCACAGAGCCAGGAATAACCCCTGTGCATTGCTGGGTGTGACCCAAAAGGCAAAAATAAATAAATTAATTAATTAAATTAAAAAATAAAAAAAACAGAGGCTATGACTCAGATACCCTTCTACTATGACCCAGGCCATTAGCGTTTACTGAACATCAGATTTCTGGGAAAAAGTCCAGGGTGGGGCTGGGGGAGCAATAAGGCTCACAGAGCTGCCACTCCAGCTTATTCTCCCTGCCTCTTCCAAAGAGAAGACGTCCAGGAACACTGGAGACTGTGATGCCCGAGCCGGCTGCAGGAAAGTAGGGAGAAGGGAGCAGGGGCTGTACTTGGAGCCATCTCTCTCACCTTCGTCCTTCCCTCACCTTCCCAGGCAGAGGGAAGCAGCTGCCATTAACTCCTCAGAAACTCTCTCTCACACTGCCCTGCCCCAGGAAGCTAGCAGAGGGATGAGCAGAGAGGGTAGGAGATTTTCTTCCACTGTGGGGACTCTGCCATCTCCTCAGTTCTAGGCGCTCATGCTCCTGAAGGAGGAACGAAGACTGGGAAGGCAAGCTTCAAGAATTCTGCCCCAGACAAAATGGCCCCTATAAGTATCTGTCTCGGAGCGAGAGACTGAAAGGAGATCGAAGGGCTACTGTGAGGGAAGACACAGAATGAGACAAAGCAGACAGAAAAGGAAGATCCGGAAAAACAGACAGGAAGTAAGAGGCATGGCACCAGGGCAGAATCAAAACCATCAGGGGCCCCTGGGCTTCTCTTCATGTCTCCTGCCTCCCCATTTTCCACCATCTCTCCTATTTATTTAGCTGGGGAAAATGATATAGATCCAACCACTTCTTGGGCTGAAGAGACAGCTCAATGGCCTGACTGGAGCAGTGTTTCTACCCTTCTTCTGACCACAGCCCCTTTTCAACCTTGTTTCCTTTCTGCTGTCCCCTGTCCTCCTGTTTGGTCTCCGGTCTCCTGCCTGGTCTTCCATTTATACAATTTTCACCTGCAGTGCACTTGGAACATCCGGATTGTGGAGCTGGAGCCAGAGAGATACTACAGGGAGTAAGGCTCTTGCCTTGCACGCAGTCACCCCAGTTCAATCCCTGGCACCACACAAGACCCCCTGAGCACCACCAGGAGTGATCCTGAGCAAAGAGCCAGGAGTAAGCCTTGAGCATAGCCAGGTATGGCAAAAAAAAGGAAGGAGGGGAAGGAAGGAAGGAAGGAAGGAAGGAGGGAGGGAGGAGGGGGAAGGAAGCGCTGCACTGAAGCACATTCTTTGCATACATAAGACCCATATTTGAGCCCAAGCACGGCACACAGTTCCCCAGTATTGCCGGGAATGACCCCACACCAGCAATAGTCCGTGTGGCCCAAAACACACACACACACACACACACACACACACACAAAAACTCCTTCCAACAACTTTCTCCTCAAGCCCTACACCCATACCAGAGTGGCTGAGAACGACTAAAGGAATTGGCTCAGACTTACCTGGTAAGCAGACTTCTCCTGAAGCAAGGAAGCCGTGCCCCTCGAACCTCCTCCTTCCTGTTCCTCAGCCTTTAGGTACAGGAGGACCCCGAGATGCAGAGCCTGCTGTCCCCAATACTCAGAGGAGACCCCCAGGCCATCCCAAGTTTCAGTTTGGCTGGGCTGAGCAAAACTAACCAGAACGCAAGGCCCGTGGTCCCTGAGGCAGAGACAGCCACCCTCTCTGTCAAGCACACCCACACCTCAGCTGAGCAGAGCATCCTTCTGAGTTTTCAGTAGGTGTGAGCTCAGTGTGGTGAGACAGGACGTGGAAGCTGATCTCTTCCTAAGCATGTTTACCCCAAGTTCCTCTCTCTGGTTCAGAGGGCCCAGGTCCCCTTTCCTGCTTTCATTCTCTGACGGAGCATGTCTTTTACCAAGCGCTGCAGATTCAAGATCCATCACAAATTTCCCTGACCTTGAGCACAGCATTCACATGAGCCCCTCCCTGCTCCAACAGGCTACTGTTTCCTCCGGGGCACCGCAAATCCCACTGAATTTGATCCTAGAACCTTTCTCCCCATGCTCTTGATGCTACCAAAGGGAAAAAGGAGTGGTGAGTGAGAAATTTCCAAGAAATTCCTTTTTGACCATCACAGAGAAAGTTCGGGAACAGAAATCTACAGAGGCAGTGTGATAGAGGAAAACACGTGAGCTATGGAGTCCGAGTTTTAGGTCTGAATCCATGAATGAGGAGTATGACCTTGAGAAAGTCTCTTAATATATTTGGGCCTCTCAATTTCCTCATCTGTAAAATGGAAACATTGATATAATACCTATTTTGGAATGCTGGTTTGGGAATTAATACTTTCAGAGTGGCCGCATACAATAAAAATACCAGTTCTCCTTAATATGATCTCCTCCATTGGTAGGGGTTGTCCTGATTTAGTAGAAGTGGCTTGCTGCTTGGGTTCTTTTTCCTTTTACCTTTGGATCATCCAGAGAACGAAAAAATAAGCAAGTACTTACTAGGGTCTCAAGGTCTAGTTATCTGTACTTGTTAGGAGGAATTGGTATGTCTGAAATGTTCTTACTACTGCACTTAGGAGGTGCAGGAAAAGGCAGACATTTTCTTAGGACCCCAGAAACTACTCCCAACCTGGGTGTGGCATCAGGGTATTTCTGAAGAAAATCTTTCATCAGACCCAAGTATTCCTGGCTGCAATACTTCAGGGGGCGATGAAGGGCCCGGTCCTAGAGCCCCCTCGCTCGCTTAACCCGCCGGAGAGGCCCCTGACCCCGGCAACTCGCCCATCCACTGGTCTTCCCCCTCCCTTCCTTGGAGGTGGGGGTGGAGATCCGAGCCAATAACAAAGGGAAGATGCGCTCTCTCTACGGGAAAAGAAAAACATCAGAAAAACACGGGACCGGCTCCAGGGGGTGGGGACGGTGCAGAATACAGCAAAGGGGGCTTGGGGACCCCTGATGGCGGGGAAGTAGCCCCCTCCCACTCTGCGGAGCCTGGGCCGCGAGCCGGGCCAGGCCACACCCAGAGAGCCTGATGCAGAGAGAGGAGGGGCTGCGGGGAACGGGATGGAGGACGAAGGGCGGGGAGGGGGCGCGGGGACGAGGGGGCAGGAGCTCCGCCGAGGGGAAGGAAACCGCCCCCCGCCCTCTCCCGAAATTCCCTCCGGGGCGCCACTCACCCCAATAACGACGCTGTCGTCCCCTTGGAAGATGGGGATGAACTTGTCCCCCCGCAGAATCTCGGCCTGGTTCAGGGGCCGAAACCGGCAGAGCACCTTGATGCTGCATTCGTTGTTGGTCTCCGCCATCGCTTCTCGGGCGCGGGGCTGGGGGGCACTTCTGGCGCTGGGGGGGTGCTCGTGTGCTCCCGGGGAGGGGGCGCTCAGCCGAGGCGAGGCGGAGGGCAGGAGCTCGGGTCCGGAGCCGAGAGAGCGGGTGGGGCGGCCGGGCGGGGCCGGGGAGCAGGGCCTGGCGGCGCGGGCTGGCTCCTGCGCTAGCGGGATGCGGGCGACCTGGGCGTCTGGTCCTCCCCGCGCGCCGCCTCTCCGCCCCTCGCGCTGCAGCGCCGCGCTGCGGGCCTGGGCGGGGCCGCGCCCGAGGAGGGGCGGGGCTTCCCGCGCGGGGTCCAGCGCGGCCCGCGGCCCCTTGCCGCCCCCCCACCCCGACTCCTTCACCCTCCGACCTGACCTTGCCGTCACCCTCTCCCCGCCCGACTGGCTCACGGCATCCCACGCCCCGCATCCCTGACCCGTCAGCGCTCCCTTGAGCTCCTGGTCCCTGCAGGGGGCCGGGCGGGCCTGTCCAGAGAGGAGTCAACAGCCCTGCCTGTTTCTGCCACCCCGTCCGTCCGAAGGATCGGCAGGCTTCTCATCCCCTCTTCCCCTCTGCCTTGGCAGAGATGCCCAGCCCACTCCGCCTTCCTGGGCAGCTGCCTCTCCCGCTGGGGAGATGCTGTCAGGTCCCATTTAAGTGTCAGAGCAGGCTCCGGCTATTTCCTTGTCCCTCTGTTTCCAAAGATGCACTCCCTAGTCTCCCCAACATACACGGCAGCTCCGCCTTGGGAGGACAAACTTCCATCCTGTGCCAGCTGAACTCAAAAGCAAATAAAGTCCTCAGGTTTGCCTCGCAGGTGAGAGCAGGGATGGAGGTGAGCAGGAGCATATTTGCAAGAGAAAAAGAGTCTGAAAGCTAAGGAACGGTGGGGTGGATGTGCGCTGGGCCGGTAAGCCCAGGGGGGCTCTGAGAATCTCTAGGGCAGCTGTCTGTTTTAGGGGCACAGGTAGGTTTCATCACCCTTTTGTATATTCACCGTATGCCAATTATTCTTGACGAATTCCAACATCTCGACCCGTTTCTTCTCTATTGCTTTCCTGTCTCTAGCCAAAATAAAAAATAAATAAAATAAAAAGCCTAGAGATTCTTTGTCCTTTCTCCTTTCAGGTCAGAATCCTGATGCAGCCCCGGGGTAGAACCACCTCGAAGCTGACCAAATTGATTTTTCTCTACACCACAAGCCTCTGCTGGCCAACAGAGAGGCAGACTGCAGGAGTTGAGGCACTAGGCCAAGGGGAGGAGCAGATTGATAGGAAAAGGGAGGAGGGGATGGAGATTCTACCTAGCAACCCTTTGGTAAGTGTCTAAGGTAACTGAGGCAAGGGTGAGAGAATGATGACCTTGCCAGACAAGGAATAACTAATCAGAGCTCAACCATAGGATTTCCTAGTTGGACCTATACTTCTAATCCACCATGACTTTTTTTTTTTGGGGGGGGGTCATACGGGGCAATGCACAGGGGTTACTCCTGGCTCATGCACTCAGGAGTTACTCCTGGAAGTGCTCAGGAGACCATATGGCATGCTGGGAATCGAACCCGGGTTGGCCACATGCAAGGCAAACACCCTACCCGCTGTGCTATCGCTCCAGACCCCACCTTGACTTTTTGTTGTACCTCTTATTGGATCACACCTGGCAGTGCTCAGGGCTTACTTCTGGCTCTATGTGTTTTCAGGAATTACTCCTGGTGGGGTTCAGCAGATGGCATGCAGCGCCAGAGATTGAACCTGGATCAGCTGCATGCAAGGCACCTTACCTGCTATACTACCTCACCAGTTCCCACCTTCACTCCTAAGAAACTGAAGGAAAAGGGTCCAGACTAAGAAACTGGATAGGAAGGACATAGGGCTAGCTACGGAAAAGAAGAGAAGGGCTTGGGAATGAGCCAGAAGAAAATGCACAAAATGACAATTTTCAAACTCAGGAAGATAGACAACTTTCCAGTCACTTGGTCTGGCACCATTTCTAAGTGTTGCAGCATCCGCCCTGCTCAGGAAACATCCTTGGAAACATCCCAGCCTGGGCCTCAAGGGGATCCAAGATGATATTCTAAGTGAAGGCGTTTCAAATGCAAGTCCACAGAAAGTGAGGGTGAGAGACAGGAATTCATAGGTATGCACCCCATCCCACAAAAAAACAGACATTCAACATAATTTTTTCATAAAGTTCAATTTCTTAAGTTCCAAAAGAAGATCTTTTTTCTTTATTCTTTTGCCTGGGACACACTGGTTGTGTTCAGAGTTTACTCCTGACTTTGTGCTTAAGTATAATCTCTGTTTTTTTTTGTTTGTTTTTCTTTTTGGGTCACACCCGGCGATGCACAGGAATCACTCCTGGCTCTGCACTCAGGAATTACCCCTGGAGACAATATGGGATGCTGGGAATCCAAGCAGGGTCAGCCGCGTGCAAGGCAAGTGCCCTACCCGCTGTGCTATTGCTCCAGCCCTAGGTATAATTTCTGGTGGGACTCAGGTAACTGTATGGAATGCCTTGGATCAAATCCCTACTGGCCTACCTCTCCAAACCCCACTGTTTTAAGTATTGAGGGAAATAGCAGAGATTAAGTTTTCTTTCCTCATAATGTACTTACTTGGTAAAATGAAAATGTAACAATACTATGCCAATGTTTGAAAAAAACTGCCATCTTAATTTTGCTGAACTGTGAAATTCAAAAGTCTGAGAACTATCAAATGGGTAAAATGCTCAAACAGCTATTTGGACAGACTTAGACAGCTACCATTTTGCCTATTTTTGAGTTTAGGAAAAGATTACCAGATAAGAACAGAATATGCACATTCATATTGAATTTCAGATGAAAAATGATGAATTTTTGGCGTGTGTGTTAGTGTGTCTCCAATATGGTATAAAACATTTTTTTTCTTTCATTTTGTTTGGGCAGGTACACCTGTAATGCTTGGTAAACTGTTCCAGATTGTTCCAAGAGGTGCTGGAGGAGTGGGGGTTTGGTGAGGACCACGGGGTGGAATTCAAGGGACGTCCTTTGAGTCATCTCCACAGTCTTAGACCAAACCAAAAAAAAAAAAGTTTATCTGAAATGGCATTCAAAGTAGTATTCCGAAATAACATTTTAACTTGCATTTTATATGATGGTCCTAATTTGAGAAGATTACGGAACTTTTTTGTTTCTGACATGACTAAGCCATTCTTAATTTTCCTTCTTGTTATTGTTTTTGAAGCCGGCGGTGCCACAGCGTGACTAGTTGTTATTTTTATCTAGTCATTCATTTTCCGGGAGTCCAAACTTATTCATATGAAAATATTTTATGTACAAAGGAAAGATAATTAATAGTGTGAAATAACTCCCCCAGCCGTTCTCGCGTCGTTCCCCGCCCAAGCCTGTCAGCCGGGACTACATATCCCATCATCCTCCGCGCGGCCTCCACGCCATTACCTCATTCCCTGGCCTCGTTCTCGCCAATCCCTGCCTCGCCAGGTGGGGTGGGAGCGAGGCTGTTCTCGCGACTTTTACTTCACCCGGCCCCGGAGCTACGCCTGTCGCGAGACTTCCTGCTCCTCCGCCTCCTCCGCCGCTCCCTGTGCCGCCGCCTTAACCCGGGACGCGGACCCGAGCCTCTGCCCTATCCGAACACCGGCCCCGGCTCTACCGAGGCCCCGTCCCCCCACCCCGCCTCGCCGCCGCCATGGCGGACCCTAAATACGCCGACCTTCCCGGCATTGTGAGTACGCGGCCGGCCCCGGCTCCCCAGGACCGCGCCCCCAACCTCCTCTGGACCCCCCACGGACACAGCCCGTGACCCCTCCCGCTTGCAGCCCCTCCTCCGGCCCGGGGGCCCCCGCCGGCCGCGCCCCGCCGCGCCGCAGCACCTTCCGGACTCCGCCGCCCGCCCGCCCGGCCGGGCGTGGGACGGCCTAGCAGGCCCCGTTGCCGGCCGTCGCCGGCCTCGGCCCGGGAACCGTCTCCGGGCGCCGGCCACCGTGCCCCAGTGTTTCTGCCGTCCATGTCAACACCACCCATGGCGTCCCCCGCCGACGCCGAGGCTCCCGGTCGCAAGCGCCAGGCCACTCGGTGATGGCCTTTCCCCTGACGAGGGGGAGGCGGCCGCGGCAGGACCCATCTCGTGTCGGGAGGAGAGCCTGCCCGCCCCTCCTCCCCCGCCCGCCGCCGTGCCCTCCATCCGGGCTGCTCTGCCCCCGTTCGCCTGAGCTCGGGTGCCGGGCCCTGAGTCACTCTCACCCCGCAGGAGTGATGTCCTGGGCTCACTTGGATGTTGGCCCGCTTCTACTAACCGTACGATTTGCCAGGGACCCTCACCCCCAGCTCGAGGGTCATTTCTTTGTCAGCACTTACACGCAGCCGTCAACCATCAGGTTTAAGTGGTCCCCGTCGTCAGGTCCAGCCTCCAAGGCCTGCTGACTGTCATGCAGGGTCTGGGGCTCGTGGAAGAGCAGAGCCCGAATCCTGGCACTGCAAGCCTGCCTTCTCCGTTAGTTTGTCCGAATGGTGTGGGGACAAGGGCTGTGGGTGGGTGGGTGCTAAGTAGTGAGGTGGGGTGGTCGTTGCTTCTGCCTGCAGGCCAGGAACGAGCCAGATGTTTATGAAACCAGCGATCTGCCTGAGGATGATCAAGCGGAGTTTGACGCGGTAAGACTTATATGCAGCCTCAGGATTCCTACCTCTGTTCCAGACAGGCCCTCTCCCTTGCTTCTCAGCCACAGCAGTAAGTGGGTATGCCAACCCAACCCAAGTGGTACTCAGTTGCAGCCAGCCACCAATGAACAATGCCAGGAAGGAGAGTCAGATCAGAACCTAAGCCACAGGCCTTTCCTTTGGCATGTTTTATTTATTCCATACAAGTAGTGACCAGGGAGGTTGCGTCCAGCCATAATTGGCCCTCCAGGTTGGATGGTGCCATGCTGCCGCCCAGTGCTGCTCAGGATGATGGTGCTCAGGGACCTCCAGGGTTCTATCCGGCAGTACTTAGGGTACCATGTGGTGCTTGGCATCAAATTCAGTTCCTTGCATCTACAGGGCATGTTGCAGAGGGCCTTTCAAGACATGTATATTTGGGACTGGTGGTTTAGACCCTGGGTCCGTGGGAAAGAATCATGAAGCTTGAGTAGGTATTAACTGCTTGAAATTAAACTAGGCCTATTTTAGGGTCGGAGTGGGATCTGGTTTGGGCCACACCCGCAACTCTTAAGTGGCTCGTCTGCCTTTCTGCTCAGGAGTGACCCCTGGTAGTGCTCAAGGCACCATCTGCAGTGCTGGGCATTGAACCAGACCCTGACATATGCAGTGCCTTAACCCTGTACTACTCACCTGCCTTTCTGGCCTTTGTTTTGGGGCCACCCCCAGTGGTACTTTTTCTGGCTTAGTGCTCAGGAGTCTCTTCTAGCAGTGTGAATATATTCCGTGTCTGGGATGGAACTCCAGACTTCTGTATGCAAAGGCCTGCAGTCTGCTGAGCTGTCTCTCCAGGCCTTTAAGGAAAAAAAAGTTTTTTTGTTTATTTTTGGGCCATACCCAGCTGTTCTCAGGGTTTACTCCTGGCTCTGGGCTCAGGAATCACTCCCTGGCAGTGCTGGAGAACCATATGGGATGCCAGGGATTGAGCTGGGTTGACCTGGTACAAGGCAAGTGCCCTACCTACATATAAGTATACACTATTGTATTTCCACCACCACCCCCCCACCAGGCCTTTTTTAAATAGAATATTTTCTGAACCAAAAAGCTAGAGAACTAGAGTTCATGCTTTGCTTGCTGGAGCCCTGGTTTTGATCCCTGTACCACATAGTCCATTGGGTACCACCAGGAGTAGCTCCTGAACGCCACCAAATGTGGCCCCCAAATAAAAAATAAACAGTTTTACTCAATACATGTTTATTATTATCAAGAGCTAGGTTTTGGTATAGTGGAATATCAAGCATCTACTGGACACTAAGAAAAGATTTGAAGACTTAGATAAGGTCAGAGCAAAACAAATTTGAGGAAGAACAGACATCTTTCCTATCTCAGAGAAGAGACCCTGTTAGCTCTTTACGATCCAAGAACAGGAGCCTGGAAGATAATACAGTGGGTATGGTGCTTACCTTGCAGGCTGCTGACTGGGGTTCAGTCTCAGGCACTCCATATGGTCTCCTAAGCACTGCCAAGAGTGATCCCTAAGCACATAGCCAGGAGTAAACCCTGAGCACCACTGGCATGGCCCGAATTGCCCCCCACCCTCAAAAAAAAAAAAAAGATCCAAGAACAGCAGTCAGAAGAAACAACCATTTTACCCATGAGAAAACCACGTGTGTGTCGAATGTGTTCATTCCTTGTTGATTTTTGTGTAATGCAGAAGAAAGGTCCCTGCTGAAAATACTCTTCCGGACTGATGAGGTAGTTAGGATACATTTAGAAAATGTGGAAGAAAATGTAGGTGACTGGAAATCAACGTTAAAATTGGGTAGATAAGGGGCTAGGAAGAGCACAGCGGATAGGGTGCATGCCTTGCACGCAGCCAACCTGGCTTTGATCCTCAGCCTTCCATATAGTTCCCTGAGCATCACCAAGAGTAATTCCTGAGTGCAGAGCCAGGAGTAAGCTCCAAGCATCTCCAGATGTGGTCCAAAAATCAACAAAAAATTATATATGTAAATGCCATAGGAAACAAAAGATCTATATATATTTTAGATTTGTTCTAGGTTATATTATTTTCAAAGAGGGCTAAACCAGGATCACAGTGTTGGTAAGTGATGAGTCAATGAGAACAGATTCAGCTTTGTTTTATTGGCCTTGTATTTTTGTTGGGGGAGGAGGGGTGTTATACCCCGCTGTATCCTGAGGTCACATATGGTGATACTCCAGGGACCATATTGTGGCTCTGGGGGATTGAACCCAACCCAGGTGCCTTACCCACTGTACTCCCTCCAGCTCCTAGCTTTATTGGGGGACCACACCCAGAAGTGCTCAAGCACTCTACCTGGCTCTGCTTAGTGGCCCATATGGTACTGAGAGTCTATCCTGGATTTCCCTTATGCGAAGTATGCACTCCAGCCCTTGAGCCATCTCCCTGACCTCCAAGGATAGGTTCAGTATGTGTGTCTGTAAGCCCAGTGTACTGTTATTTTAGTTTGGAGAATGGTGGTTGCTGCTTTATAATGTATGGCTTGGCATACTCACTCCTTATTTGATTTTTCCCATGTGGAAGTGGTTCCTATTTTTTGCGGAACCCCTTCTACCCCCTCTCTCACTGGTGTGTTACTGGTGGCTTCTGTACTTGCTAGCATATCAGTTGGTCACCCAAAATTGAGTATCTGGAGATAATGCAGATGTTATTACACAAGATCCCTGGTATGCACCTGTTTCGATATTCTCTTATTAGAAATAAGATATTTGAGATCCCAGGGCAGGTGTATGGCGAGGACTTCAGACACTTGTGGGGGGTTAGTGGGGAGAGGCTACATCCAGCAGTGCTCAGGTATCACTCCTCGCAGGACTCGGGGGACTATATAGGGAGCCAGGGATCGATCCTGGGTTGGCCAAGTATAAGGCAAGTGCCCTACCCACTGTACTGTCGCTTTGTCCCAAGAAGGACTTCAGACTTCTGCCACAGTTTCAGGACGGTTCAAATCTGGCCTAGGCCTCTGCCTATAAAAGATCAAATCTTTGTAGTGAGATAAAATGGACCTTTGTCCCTTTATCACTTTGAGACAAACAGAACCACAGCTTTTCCCTTTCCGAGCCCCCCCCCAAAAAAAATAGGTTTTTTTTTAAGTTTTTGTTTTTGGGCCACACCACAAAATGCTCAGAAGTTACCCCTGTCTCTGCTCTCAGGAAGAGCTGGTGGTGTTCAAGGGACCATATAGGATGTCAGGGATCCAACCCAGATTGGCTACAAACAAGGCAAGCCCTGCCCTATACTATTGTTCTCTCCCCTATATAGTTTTCTTTGTAAAGAAACTGAGCTTTCTAATAAAAGGAAAGTGATACTTAATCCAGGCATGGAAGAACCTGACTGAAGCCCCTCTTGGTCTGAGCAGCTTATTCTTATAGCATGTACAACAGTGACTGATAGGGAGTAGATATTATAAGTGATTGTTTCTTGCAGTATGTAGCCTGGGATGCCAGGATAGACGTGCATGTTCTACTAGCTCAGCAGTAGAACACATGCTTTTCATGTATGAGACCTGGGTTTGGTCCCTGGCTGAAAAAAAAAAAAGAGAGAGTACATGGGAAATGGCAGATATAAAAGGTCTTGAGTTGGTACCATCACCTAAAGCTCAGCTAAATGATCCCCTATTACTGGTGAGGAGTGATTGGGGTGGGGAAACGTTGAGCTTCTCAGGAGGCCCAAGGGATGGGGAGTGCTGAGATACTTCCCCGATGTCAGCTAATGTATCTGGCCCCTCTTGTCCCTGTGGGCCTTAGAAAGGCAGCTTTCGGGAAGTCAGCTGAGTAATGGTTTTGCAACTGCTCTTAATAACTGACGTAAATGTGCAACTTGAGGAGCAGTGGGTTGTTCTTAGATAATTCAGAATCTTCATGCATTTGAGGTTTGACTGTTGTGTAGTGGCTGCTCAGCGGCTCTCCTCACCAGTCTTCCCAACCAAGACCTAACACAGGGACAGTGTACTTCCTGTTGTGACTATACCATGAGGTTTTCAGTCACCTTTAAAAAAATTTTTTTTTTTTGCTTTTTTTTGGGGGGGGGTCACACCCAGCGATGCTCAGGGGTTACTTCTGGCTCTGCACTCAGGAATTACTCCTGGTGGTACTTAAGGGACCATATGGGGTGCCGGGGATTGAGCCTGGGTCAGCTGCGTGCAAGGCAAATGCCCTGTCTGCTGTACTATCACTCCAGCCCCCTTGTTTTTATTTTTCGCTTTTGTTTTTGTGCCACACTTGGCTGTGCTCAGGCTTATTTCTGGCTCTGTGGTCAGGGATTATTCCTTGCTGGGCTTGAGGGAACCATATGTGTGCTGGAGATTGATCCTGGGTCAGCCACGTGCAAGGCAAGCGCCCTATCCACTGTACTATCGCTCCAGCCGCATTAGTCGCCACCTTTTTTTTGGGGGGGGGGGTGGGGGGCGGTAGGCACACCCATCAGTGCTGAGGACGTACTTCTGGTTCTGTATTTCAGTTTTACTCCTGGCAGGATTTGAGGACCCGTATAGGTTCCAGGGATCGAACACTAGGTCAGCCTTGTACAAGGCAAGTGCCCTACCCTCTGTACTATATCTCTCTAGCTCCCTTTGGTCACCTTTTTAACCCCTGGCAATAACATTCTCTGCCTTAGTCTCCAGATTCTCAACTTGAATTGTACTCATTTTTAAAATAGCTAATATATGGATTTAAAATAAAAGTCTTTCCACCTTGCCTGTCACCACTCAGTTCCATTTCATGAAGACAGCTAATATACTCAGCTTCTTCTGGAGCTTTTGGGGTTGGGGTCATAGATGTTTCCTTATTTGTATTAAATAGTCAAAGAATGTTCACCCTTAGTGTCTTATGAAGCTTCTCATTTATTTGCTCCAATGTGGAAGAAATTGAGCTACTAAGGGAAATAATGTCTTTATTATTTTTAATTTGGTTTTAAGGTTATGATTTGGTTAAAGCAAATCCTGATTTTCCTATTATCCCTTTAAAATTTTTTTCTT